GTTGTGTTTGTAAGGAGAAGCCATATGTTTGTCAGATAAACGGGGTTTCAGTGCAGCGAGCAGATTGCCCCACTTATATCTCAGGAGCTTTCAGGGAAGAGGACGCTGGGGGTTGTTATGGAACCATGGATGCTCTGGGGCACGGTGCTATCAGGTTGTTGCCCTGCACAGTGCATGGTGTCAAGGGAGGCGATTCTGCCCCTCTGCTCTGCTCTGGTGATACCCCTCTGCAGTCCTGATCCAGCTCTGGAGTCCTCAGCACAGGAAAGACACGGAGCTGCTGGAGTGAGGCCAGAGGAGGCCATGGAGATGCTGCGAGGGCTGGAGCAGCTCTGCTCTGGAGCCAGGCTGAGAGAGCTGGGCTGGGGCAGCCTGGAGAAGAGAAGGCTCCTGAAGGGGAGACCTGAGAGCAGCTCCAGTGCCTGAAGGGGCTGCAGGAAACCTGGAGAGGGGCTTGGGACAAGGGATGTAGGGACAGGCCAAGGGGAATGGCTTTAACCTGCCCGAGGGGAGACTGAGATGAGCTCTTAGGCAGAAGCTCTTCCCTGTGAGGGTGCTGAGGCGCTGGCACAGGGTACCCAGAGAAGCTGTGGCTGCCCCATCCCTGGCAGTGTTCAAGGCCAGGTTGGACACAGGGGCTTGGAGCAAGCTGCTCTATGGAAGGGGTCCCTGCCCATGGCAGCGGTTGGAGCTGGAGGAGCTTTAAGGTCCCTTCAATACAAACCAGGCTGTGACTCTGTGAGTCTATGACTGAACTACAACATCTTTGAAACCCTTCCTGGGGCCCTTCGGACAGCCCCACGCGCCCACCTTAAACTGTGAAACAGGACCTGGATCTATTGCACCCCCATAGCTCCCATTCCGCCTTGCCCGGGGACAGAGCATCTCCCAGGCTGTACAACTCAACATCTGCCCCTGGGCTAAGCAAATCTTTACACCCTTCTTACACCACAGATCCATTTGGCCCCACAGCCGCCCCCCTGCACCCCGGGACCGTGTCCCTCCATCCCCATTGCTATTTTGCCATCTGATGGCAATACGTTGCACTGCACCTTGCGGGACGGTGCCGGACGCACATGGAAAGCCCCGCGGCAGGATTCCCCCCTCAGCACTGCTGCATTTTCTCTCGTTCCCACTCAGGACGATGTTGCCCTTTTATCCAGCTCCCCCTGGATAAGAACGGTCTGGTAACGGTTTGAAACTGTCCGGCATGACTTTTCTTTGGTTTTCTACAAACTTCCCGTGCCATAATGTCCTGTAACTGTGAGGGATCCAGTTCATCCCCTGCACTTCTCCTGAGCCTCCACCGATGAGTCAGAGCCTGCTATTGATCAGGAATTCCCTGGCTTTGCTCTTCAGCATCACCATCTACCCCTGATAAATAATTAAACCATGAGGAGCTCCGTGCTATCTCGCACATGAGCACGTCCTTCCATGAGCAGGTCGATTCCCGTCCATGAGGAGATTCACAGTCAATGTTATTGGGTTTTTCCTCTGTAACATCCATAAAATGAAAAGCCAAACCCACTCTGGCTATGGGGCACAGTTTGGTCACCTCCCGTTTGGAGATCTTGCTACTGAAGAGCATCCAAGGCTGAGTCCAAACACTGACCCTGCTCATGGAGGACTTCTCAGGATTAAACTGGGAATCAGTGTCGACTTTTCCTCTTGTAGTAGTGTTTATGGACACAGCCTGAAGATGGGATCCCAAAGTGACTCCAGGAAATATCTTGACCTGAACTGTAATTCTGGATCTAGTCCTTGATCTGAGTTTAGATCCCTTCTGGGATTTGGGACATGCCCGATCCTAATAGGAGAGAAACACAACAAAATGATGTTTGCAAGAGCCCTGGGACAAAGCAAAAGCCCATTTCCAGCACTGGGTGGGAATGAGAAAGTGAACTCGAAACGGGGCCATGGGGAGGGAGCACACGATGTGAGGCTGCCATTTCAGGCCAGCAACGCTGGAAAAGCAGAACTGAAAGGACAAGGAAGTAGGGGAAAACCAGTTTATTTACAGAAACTTGCTCCAAAAGATGGGAAAACGCAAGGGAGCGGCGTTCCCTGCACAGAGCTGTGAGGGTTACAGTGGGCTCGGGAGAAGGCAGGAGTCAGATCACCCAGATCGCTTGGGAGCCAGGCAGACAGGCTCCAGGCTGAGGCTGGACATCAGGAAAAGCCTCCTATGCAGGAGGGTGAGACAACCTCAAACAGGTGTCCAGAGGGGTCACCATCCTTGGTGGGCTTCAAGATGTGGCTAGCCAAAGCCATGGCCAACCCAACTGCTGCTGGAGGCACTTGTGCTTTCAGTGGACCACACGGGTCCCTTCCTGGCCACAAAGGTAGGTGGAGGTTCAGATGTGAACCACAACGGTGGTGCTGTGGCAACAGCCACGCTTTGGACAGACAGCACAGCCAACGTGGCCTCGGTGGAAACCTCTCAGCCCAGTTCCTCTGACTCAAGAGGGTGACAGGCACCAGCCACCAAATCCAACTCTCTTTTTGTCCAGCCCTGGGACTGATTTTAGGTGCTGTCCTCATGCACGCTGCATGAGTGTTCTCAGTTCATAGAACAGTAGAATCCCAGACTGGGTTGGGTTGAAGGGACCTTAAAGCTCCTCCAGCTCCAACCCCTGCCACGGGCAGGGACCCCTTCCATAGAGCAGCTTGCTCCAAGCCCCTGTGTCCAACCTGCCCTTGAACACTGCCAGGGATGGGGCAGCCACAGCTTCTCTGGGCACCCTGTGCCAGCGCCTCAGCACCCTCACAGGGAAGAGCTTCTGCCTTGGATCCAACCTGAACTTCCCCTGTTTCAGTCTGAACCCATCACCCCTTGTCCTGTCACTGCAGTCCCTGATGAAGAGGCCCTCTCCAGCATCCAGTTTGCTGCTGTGCATCACCCTGACCCAAACACCACTGGACCAGGGGCTGATGAAGTACAAATGGGGACCTCCAGGGAATGAAGAACCTGCAGACCTTTGGAGAAGGCCCTATGGGGCACCCACCTGCGTGTGCCACCACCCTGGACCCCAGCCATGGTGACAGTCTCCATGAGACTGCTGCGTGCTCTCCCTCCCCACACCAATACCCTGCACAAGCAGCAGTTACTCAGCTGTTTACCCAAAGGGATGGGTCCGTGTTCCAGGAAAGCAGCAGGTTTACAGCCCTCCTGCCTCTGTTTACTGCAGGGAAGAGATACATCGTGCCAGGAAGGACACAAGGGCTTCCTGGGAGCATGGAAAGAGCTTATCGTTGCAGCCCATCCTTCCAAAGGTGACCCTTGATTTGCACCCTCCAAGATGCCTCTGGAGCCCTGTTACTCAGCACAAGGAGGCTTGAGGGCTTTTGGCAGCTTCCCAAATGGGAAATCCTCATCCAAGTCCAGCAGGATCCTTACTCATAGCAGGAAAAGCAAGTGATGGGAGCACTGGGGTCACCAACCATCACCTGCTCCAGCAAAACAAACCACACAGGCTGAAGTGAGGGATGTTCCGGAGCCCTCAGGGCTGTTTCCATAGCAAGAAAACATGGGAATGTCTTGTTAGGATAAGTTAGGACATCCTTGTTAGGAAAAACACATCCATGGGTGCCTATTCCAAGAGCTGCACAGGGACAGGACGGGACAGCTACCTAGGAAAGGTCAGCATTCCCACCAAAGCTGCCCTCAGGCCTGGGCAGGTCTTACACTGACCCTGCTGGGTTTCACCCCAAAAAGGATCTGGCTTTCCTCGCCCCTAGGCGGAAAGAAGGATGTGGTCTGGTGCTTCACTGCACCTTGCTGCTGTGGTCCAGCCCCAGGCTGCAGCTTGGCTGGGTGCTGGGTAACCTCCAGCCCCTTCTCCTAGTCAGGCTCTCCCAAGCCTGCTGTCACTGCTCATTTACCCACTCGAGCTTCTCACTTCCTTCTCCTCCATCTCTCACCTCATCAAACACTTGGGTTTTGCCAAGGAGCTGGTGATGTCTTCTGGAAGCAGAACTTCCCAGGCAGTGTTTCTGGAGACGTTGTTCTGCTGGAGCTTTGGCAACCAGCACTCACGTGTCCCACCACCTACAGCCCACCAGCATCCCCAGGCTTCAGGTAATGGGTGTAAAGCAGTTTTGCAGGAGCAACACCAGTTACAGCAAAGGGGGCTGCAGTTTCAGGCTGGTACCAACCCATTTTGGTGGAAGCCTCAGTCACCAACCCCTGGCAAAGCTTTTCACAAGACAGCTCCCAGAGCCACTCACAGCATCACTGCCCCAGGTTGGTGCTGATGCAGCCCCAAGACTGTAACTTGGGCTTGGGAAAGGGTCTGGAGCAGGTATGAGGCAGCAGGATCATTTCTGCAGTGCTGCAAAACCAGGGTTGGAAGGAACTCACCTTTTCCTATAAGCCACAAAGCACGATGCTGCTTCACAACCTGTACCTGCGCTTGTCACCTCGCTACAGAACACCACGTCTTTGCACTGTCTTTACCCATCAAGCTGCCCCAGGGCAGGTTTAGATGGAGCTGAGGAACAATTCCTGCCCCAGAGGGTGCTCAGGCATTGGAACAGGCTGCCCAGGGCAGGGCTGCAGTCACCGTCCCTGCAAGTGTTCACACAGCGTGGAGACGAGGCCTCAGTGCCATGGGTTAGGGGTGGCCTTGGCAGTGCTGGGAATGGTTGGAGTGGATGAGCTGAAAGGGCTTTTCCAGCCTGGATGAATCTATGCTCAGCTGCTGCACTCTGGTTTAGGGCTGCCAAGCTTGGGGACAAGATCTGGGTGCCCAAAGGTGCTGGTTTTCAATGAGGATGGCTTGGATTTCCCCAGTTTCAAGCCTTCAACCAGCAGGAAGTGGGATTTTCAACCTTAAACAGCCCCAGGTTTATTTGCTCAAGGAAAAGCCACGTGAAAATATGAGTGGCTGGTTTTGGATTTCACACACACAGTTGTTCCTCGCAGGGCACTGACAGTACCAGGGGGTGGCTGGAATTCCTGCTTCCAACTCCAAGCAAATAACCACATTTCTGACCATGAGTAATGTTCCTTACTGGCTGCGTTTCTCTTCACATTACTTACACAGCTGATTACAAACAGCAATAAAGAGGGAAAGGAGTTAAAACGAGACCCAGCTTAGGGCATCCATGCAGCCAGGGCCGATCCAGGCAGATGGCTCAGCACAATCCCACCCTTAACCACAGGAGCAAGCCCACGGGACAGTGGGACTGCAGTCTCTGCAGTGGAAGTCCATTCTCAAACTGGGAAGTGGCTCAGATCCATACCAGTGTGGTCAGGCTCCGGACCACCACTCGCTGCAAAAGCACTGGGGTAGATGCTCAACCCAAAGCACGTGCTCCAGTGCTCTTTACTCAGCTGCAAGAATGGGCTTTAGCAGCAAGTTTGAACCTTAATGACAGGCAACCGAATTTACACAGCAAAAATCTCATGCTCCCGCCCCAAAGGACAGAAAAGAAGCGAGCAGGAGACGAGCCCGTGTTCTCCTGCATCTTGGGGCTGAGGGACAGCTTCTGGGTGTGTTTTGCTAATGAAGCCCCAGAGATGTCACTGCTTTGGCTCAGGGTGGGTTTTGAGATGCAGGAGCAGCTCTGTGGCCTCGTGTCCACGAGATGCCAGAGGCACCAGCATGCCCCAGCAGAGAACAAGTCTGTGATGCACTGCATGTGCCACCATCAATGACTTCCTATGGTGAAACCTCCAGTGGGTCTTCTTTCAAGTCTTCCTGGTCCTCGCTTTCCTGCTCCAGCTGCTCCACCTTGCTGGATTTCTCATGGATGATCTCCCCAGGAGTCTTCAAAAACCTGTAATACATTTGCTGAATGGCTTTAAGAGCATGTCCCAGCCCCAAACCAGGCTGTAAATCCTGGAGCTCTTGCCCTCATCAGCTGAGCTCTGGAGCTCCCCAGAGGGTATCTGCCATCCTTGGCTTTGCTAAGCATCCCAGCTCTTGCTTTGCACCCAGGATGCACCAAGCCTGGAAGACAAAGCTCAGCACTCAGCAGTCCAGAGCTGGCATTTTAACTCCAAACCAGTCCCAGGGAAGCAGCCAGCACTGAAACCAAGAGGCTCCTGGCTTATTTTCACCCCTTCCTCTATCTGGAGGTGAACTTCAGACCTGGTGTCACTGGGGATCTTGCTGGATGAAGCAGCTGCCAACATCTGGAGCCCATCACCTTCCCATGCCCCATCTGCAGTGCCCCAGGCACCCCTGGTCTGCTCCAGCTCACCTGAATAACAGCTTCTGCCCTGGCTCCTTTTTGATGATGTTGAGTTTGTAGTAATGTCTGAGCGCTCGTGACATCTTCTCATAGGTCATGTTCATCCGGTTCTGGAAGGAGAAAAGAACTGGGAGGTCTGTATAAAAGCACTGACATGTGGCTTGGGTCTGTCTGCAGCAGGGCCATACGTGGGACATCTGAGGTGGTTCTTGGGCACTGCAAGCTGCAATGTGGGTCCCTAACCCAGCCTTGCTCCTGGGCCCATATCCATTACAGTTTGCTTCCTAGGGGATAAGAAAGCCTCCCTCCTTAATCACCAGGAGGTTGGCATCCCTCACCAGCCCTGCACCCACTGTCTCACCCTTCCCAATCCCTGTGCCATCAGCTCTGGAGAACAGGTCCTGAAAGCAACATGCAGAAGGCCAGGAATGACAGATTGGTTCCCAACTGCATTTACCTTGTGGTTGCCCCAGAGCTGGGCAAGCCCGTTTGGGTTCACAACCCGGAAGATCTTGGCTTCCTTATCTTCCCACTTGATGTAAGGCTCATAGCGGCTGTCGGAGAGGAGCTGGTACACATAATCCCACAGCAACCTGCAGTCTGAGTGTTGGGGGAGAATAAATAGGCACAGAGCTCCCACTAAGGCTCCAGTGAGGGTCAGTCAGCAAGAGAACTGCACGTGCTAGCAATGGTAATAAAGAAAAGAGCCCAGAGCTCATGCACAGCACTTTTCACGATGGATTATTTGCCTACAGGAAACCTGGAGAGGGGCTTTGGACAAGGGCCTGTAGGGACAGGCTATGGGGAATGGCTTTAACCTGCCCAAGGGGAGAATGAGATGAGCTCTTAGGCAGAAGCTCTTCCCTGTGAGGGTGCTGAGGCGCTGGCACAGGGTGCCCAGAGAAGCTGTGGCTGCCCCATCCCTGGCAGTGTTCAAGGGCAGGTTGGACACAGGGGCTTGGAGCAAGCTGCTCTATGGAAGGGGTCCCTGCCCGTGGCAGGGGTTGGAGCTGGAGGAGCTTTAAGGTCCCTTCCAACCCAAACCAGTCTGGGATTCCATGATCTCAAAACACTAACAGGAACTGCAGTTTTTCAGGTGAAGAAGCTGCGGCATGGAACAGACCGAGATGAGACAGATGGGCAGACAGGACAAAGCACAAGCTCATTGCCCCCAGGAATCAGGCTATAAATTCATATTTACCTGCAATTCTCCCATCCACTGGGGCTGACAGGGCTGTAGGAAAAGAGCAGATGGCATCTGCCGTGCAGCTGCCCTCCGAGCTGTGATAGGAGAGGTTCAGGGGCCCTGCATGGCTGCAGGACGTGGGCTGTTCTGCACAACCCAGGCAGGAGGAAACAGCCATTGGAGCAGCCTCAGCACTGCAGCCCATCCCTGGAAATAAAACAAAGCCAAAGCAACCCTGTGGTGCATTACAGCAGGTCCCAGGAGATCTTCCAAAGCTCCAAAATCGGTGAGAAGGGACAGCCCAGGCTGGTTATCAGCCCAGACAGAGGACAGGGATGCTAAGGAAACCCTGGGATTTTCCCAAGGCAAGAGCAGCAGGAGGTCCAGGGGGATTACAGGAGATGCCAAGGAGGGTGAGGAACAGATACAGAAAAGCTGGAACAGGTTAATGCACCAGAATACAGACTCTTGTACTATAAATTGTTGTGGAGGCTTAAGATGCTCATCATCCTACAACTGAACTGACAAAAGAACCGAGGAAAACACTCCCAGAGCCACCCCAGCGCAAAGCCACTTCCCTTATGGGCACACATAAGCCTCACTGGCCCTGACCAGCCTCACCTGGGCCTCTCCCCACTGGCCCAGAAGCTCTATTTAAGCTCAGCCCTGGATCCCCATTCATTTCCCAGCTATGCTGCAGGAGGACTGGTTTCTAGCCAGGGCTGTGCCTCTGCCTGGTTAGCAACCCTCTCTGATCCAGACCTCAGTCCATAGACAGACTTCCTAATGTAGCTACAGCCGTACCTGGCCACCATGGACCCACCTAGACCTGATCTGATCAGACCTGCTCCATCACTAAAAGCTTTCCTAATGACCTGGACTCTGTTGGACCTGGCTGCCACCTCCAGGACTGTCCTGCTACCCTCAAATAGGATGGGATGGGTTCAGCTGCTTGAACTTCAGACCCCAGATGCATGCAACCTACTGTAGCTGAGGACAAGTTCTGCTTGACGGACAGCTGCCATCCTCCATCATACCTTTCTCTGTGCTCCTGGCTTCTCTGAAGGGTGAGTTCAGCAAAGGGCTGCACACCAGAACTCTGCGTTGAGTCTTAATGTACTGAAGTATTTCATACAGCACATCACCTGCAGGGAAGGGAAGTCTGCTCAGATGACTTGGTGTTGCAGCCTCTCTCAGTTGATGTTATTGCTTAGATTTCTGTGCCACAAAGAGGTTGTTCCCATCCCAAAGCATTTACAGTCCAGACAGACTAAAGGCAGAGGGCTGTCCTGGTCTCCAGCACGCAACTGGCCAGAGCTAAAGCCTGCTGGGACCCATCCAACCCCTCTCAGCATATCACAGCTTGTGCTGTACTTGGATGGGCCTCACAAACACCCTTGCACTGAGTCTAACCTGAGCTCGGAGCTCGATATCTGAAGTCATCCTTGGTGAGGATGCACAGGGCTTTGCCGTTCATTTCAAACTTGCTGTCGTCAGCTGGCCGAAGGGAGAACTCTGTCTCAGCCCATCTTAGCCAGTGGATCACGTCCTCCTTGCTCCACAGGGAGGGCTGGATTCCTGAAACCAGGGGCATCCTCTGAAACAACTCAGTCTCCACACAGTATGCTAGAGATTGGAAGGGACCTCGAAAGATCATCTAGTCCAATCCCCCTGCCGGAGCAGGAACACCTAGGTTCACAGGAATGTGTCCAGGCCGGTTTTGAATGTCTCCAGGGAAGGAGACTCCACAACCTCCCTGGGCAGCCTGTTCCAGTGTTCCGTCACCCTCACTGAGAAAAAGTTTCTTCTCAAGTTTAAGTGGAACCTCTTGTGTTCCAGTTTGTACCCATTACCCCTTGTCCTATCATTGTTTGCCACTGAGTAGAGCCTGGCTCCGTCCTCGTGACACTCCCCCTTTATATATTTATAGACAATTATAAGGTCACCCCTCAGTCTCCTCTTCTCCAAACCATAGAGACCCAGCTCCCTCAGTCTTTCCTCATAAGGGAGATGCTCCACTCCCTTAATCATCTTAGTTGCCCTCCAAAACTGCTCGGGGAGGGGGCAAGGCGGGACACTGGTTCTTTCTATCACCAAACTTTCCCTTTAGATTAAGAACTCAAGTCAAAAGCACCCCAAAGAGAGAAAATGAACCCTGATGACTGGTGCATCTTGTGCCCCTTGACCACAGGGAGTGGGCTCTGGGTGGGACACCACGGCTGTACCCACAATATTCCACCCTGTGGGAACGTCTGGGGTTTTAAGCAGCGTGGACTGGCTCAACATCGACTCACTCAGCCCGCCTGGAAGCGTGAAGATCTCCCCCTCGCTGCTGGGTGGGTGCCTGGCCTGGGATAGGGCTGGTATCGAAGCTGTGACAGCAGAGCTGGGGGAGCTGATGGCTGCTTGACCCTGGGAAAAGAGATCAAACACATCAGTGGGGGGAATTCCCAGCTCTGGTCCTGCCTTTGCTTTGGATATGGCTCCACCACAGTAAATACTGCTCCAGTCTGGTTTCTCACAGCAGCATGATGTGCTGTGTGCTGCTCTTCCACACTGGCTCTAGGTAGGTCCTTTGTCAGCCCCAGGATGAATCTCCGGTTGCCCAAGAGACCGTGAGTAACCAGAGATCCCCCACTTTTTCCCCAGCTCTTTATCACCTTTCCTTTAGTACCTGCCCTCATCCAGGCTCTGGATGTGGGTTATCCATCCCCAGGGCTCCATGACTGCAGGGAAGTAAAAGATGGAGCCAAGCCTGGCAGAGCCAGGTGCCTGTGCTGGTTCCTGTTTCCTGGAGCACCCTCAGATGCTTCTTGGATGCCCTACAGTTAAGGAGGGCCCTTCAAGTCTTTAGAGTCATTAAAATAATGTAAAACTGGTAATAGTGCTTAGATGTTTGTCTTAATAACACTGCATGAAGAGATCTCTAACTTTTTCTGCAGGGATCATTTGGGCATAAGCAGGAATAGCCATCGCGTGGTTTAGGGAGATGTCTGCTCACCTTGCTCACATGCCATGAAATCCCAGAACCTCAAGAATTACTCCTTCCTCTTGGTTAGAGAGCCCCTCCAGCATCACTGACTGGGGAAGATGGTCTGTGCTGGGAGGAGAAGCAGCCCCATCATCAGCATCTCTGCCTCCAGATCTCACCCGGAGCACGTGAGCCAGGAGGGAGCTCTCATCCTTTCAGCCCCATCTAGATCCTGAAATATTGCTGCCAGCCAAGCAGATAATGATTTCTCTCAAAAGTCTCTTAATGTGAATCCCAGCAATTTCTCAGTGTCATTCTCTGGAAAATTAACAGTTTTGCCTACAAATAGTATTTCCTGAAGCTCCAATACCTGCTCAGGTGGATGTTTGGAGGTGGTCAGAGCAGCCAGCGCTCCTCAGTGCATAGAGGGGTCAGAGGAGCTGAGCCCCTGTGAAAATCAGGCTGAAGAACATCACAATATGCAATGGGAGAGCAGAAGGTGCCGGATGTATTTTAAATGCAGAGCTGGTGTCCCCAGAATGAGAAGCACACGGGCTAAGAGCTTCATCTTCTGGGGAAAACACTTCACCATCACCTGCACTGGGCACTGGGGAGGCCGCACCTCAAATCCTGTGTTCAGCTCTGGGCCCCTCACTACAGGAAAGACATTGAGGTGCTGGAGCGGGGCCAGAGAAGGGCAGCGGAGCTGGTGCAGGGCCTGGAGCACAGGGGTGATGGGGAAGGGCTGAGGGACCTGGGGGTTCAGGCTGGAGAAGAGAAGGCTCAGGGGGGACCTGATGGCTGCCTACAAGTGCCTGAGAGGAGGATGGAGCCAGGAGGGGCTGGGCTCTGCTCCCAAGGAACAAGGGATGGGACAAGAGGAAACGGCCTCAAGCTGCCCCAGGGCAGGTTTAGATGGAGCTGAGGAACAATTCCTGCCCCAGAGGGTGCTCAGGCATTGGAACAGGCTGCCCAGGGCAGGGCTGCAGTCACCGTCCCTGCAAGTGTTCACACAGCGTGGAGACGAGGCCTCAGTGCCATGGGTTAGGGGTGGCCTTGGCAGTGCTGGGAATGGTTGGACTTGATGAGCTGAAAGGGCTTTCCCAGCCTGCTTCATTTTGTGGTTCCCTGTGATCCTTCCAGCAGGAGGAATGTGGGAGTTTGGTGATGGGCAAGGGGTTTTCTTCAGCAGGAGGATGAGTGTGACTCAACTCCCTGCTAGCAGGTGAGTGATTGCTGCCTGGCTCAGAGGTTTAGCAAAGCACAAGCAGCTCTGTGACACAGGAAACCAGTGAAAATCCAGTTTAAACTTTGAACAAGAACAGAAGAGACCTTTCAGATTAATTCTGAGCAATAAGCTACAGGGAAAAATCAAAGTGAAAGAAATTAGTGGAGTATTTTGCCTAAAACTTCTCTAATAAAAGATACTTTAGTTTTCTCCCACCTGTGTGCCTCCCTCACAATAAGGCTTACAATAAAAACAGAACAAGTGTTTGGTATTTTTCCTGCTCCTAAAGATTTCTAGGGCATAAGAGATTCCTTCTGAGTTGTTAGTACTTGATATTGATTTTTATCACTTTACACCAGTTTCCTGCTCTTGCTTTTTTTCCTGCTTTGCTGCTTCCACATGGCAGCATTTCCTTGCTTCGTGAGGAAGTGCTGTCCTTGGAAAGGTTTGAGGGGCAAAAGCAAGGAAAAGGGGATGAAAACGACCCCCCCGGTGAGAGCCGCTTTCTGCTTGATCCCAAATGGGGGCTATGGAGTCCCCCTGCTGCTCCGGGCTCCCTGAGGCCATTTGGAGGAGGATGGGGTCACTCCGCATCCCCAGCCTCAACTTCCAGCCCCTACTGAGGGTGGCAAACCGGGGATGGAGGGAGCGGGAGGGGCAGCTCTTACCTGCATCCCCGGTGGCGGCGGCCGGCCGGTGCCCACCGCGGTACCCCCCGGTGTCCGGCGCGAACGGGTCCCGTGCCTGCGGCCGCTGAGACTTCAGCGCGATCCTTCCGGGAAACGAAATCGAAACGAGCCGCAGCGGCGGGAGGCAGGAGCGCGGCGGGGCCAGCGCCCGGGGATTCCCCCCGCCTCACTCCCGGTGCCGCGGCCCCGCGTCTCCTTCACCACAGCCGCCGACACTTCCGACCGGGGCATTTGGGCGCCGTCCGCTGCCAGCACCGGCGGGCCCGGTTCTCCCGGGGTCCCATCCAGCGGCAAAGGAGGGAGCGCTCCCGGGAGGCTCGAATGGCCGGTGCCATCCTTCGTCCGCACCGGGAGCGGGCCGGGCGGGACCGGGTGCCCCATGGGATGCAGACCGGGACGGGACCGGGTGCCCCATGGGATGCAGATCGGGACGGGACCGGGTGCCCCATGGGATGCAGACCGGGACGGGACCGGGTGCCCCATGGGATGCAGACCGGGACGGGACCGGGTGCCCCATGGGATGCAGACCGGGCGGGACCGGGGGCCCCATGGGATGCAGACCGGGACGGGACCGGGTGCCCCATGGGATGCAGACCGGGCGGGACCGGGGGCCCCATGGGATGCAGACGGGGCGGGACCGGGGGCCCCATGGGATGCAGACCGGGACCGGACCGGGGGCCCCATGGGATGCAGACCGGGACCGGGGGCCCCATGGGATGCAGACCGGGACGGGACCGGGTGCCCCATGGGATGCAGACCGGGACCGGACCGGGGGTACCGAGCCGCACGCACCCGCCACCCCACCGGCATCACCCGGTTCCCATTGGCCAGCCGGCTCTGACCGTGGAGCCAATCGGAAAGCGGCCCGGAAGGGGCGGGGCTTAGCGGCGGGACCCCGCCCTCCGGCAGGCGGAGGGAGCGGCCTCGGCCGGGGACGCGGTGAGTGAGGCCTGAGGGCGGGTGAGGGGCGGCGGGGTCTGAGGGGGCTTGCCCGGCTTTCTGGGGGTCTTGAGGCATCGTGGGGCCCTTTCTGGCTCTGTGAGCCGGGGAGAGGCTTTAGAGGCTTTCCCGGGCCCTCTCAATGCTTTGAGGGTGACTGACGGGCCTGGGGCCGCCGGTCGTGCGCTGTGTCCGCGGGGCCTGAGGCCCTTCACGGCTCGGAGCAGGCCTCTGGAGATCGAGGGGGTCTTCCCCCTCCTCTGCGGGCGCTGAGGGGGTGTCTGTGGGGTTCGCAGTGACTCCGCTGTTCTGTTTGGGCTCTGCAGGGGCCTGTGGGGCTGGGGGGAGGTGGAGGGAGATCTGCCCTTCCGTGGGGTGTGCGTGTGGGGTCTTAGTGTGCACTGAGGGGGCGCTTCCACCTGCCCCGTGTTTACTTGGAGGGGGGCCTTTGGGGCCCCTCCTGCACTGCCTGCCAGGGGCCTGGACCTTTCTGCTGGGCTGTGTAAGAGGCCTCGGGGGCTTGACTTTACCCAGTGCTCCTTGGTGAGGCTGCTACTTGTGATCACCACCTCCAGAGCAGGAAGCATCCTCCTCTCAGGGTGCTGGTTGGTCACACTGCCCTCCTGTGCGTGGTCTGAGGTTGGAGGCTGTACGTTTTTAGGTTTGAATCTACACCTTCCCTTTCCTCCTTCCTATCTGGCCCTGCTGTGGTTTGAAAGGGAGCATACTGAGGGGTTTTCCCCTATATGGGTGCAGTAGGTGAGACCTCAGCCTGGCACCCTTTTGTGTGGTGCCTTTCCCTGTCTCTGATCCTGCTGTTGGATTCTCTGTGTTGTTTTCTCAATGACCTTAGGCCCTTCAAGGAAGGGGTAATGCTAATGCCAAGTCTTGGATATAAACCTGAGAGGCTCAGAACACACCTCTGCAGGGAGAATGTTTTGAATGTCTTTGCTGCAAGCACAAACCCTGTTGTTGCAGTCAGTTATGGCTTTAAGGCAGAAAATTCACCTGTGTTCCCTGTGCCTGCCTAATGCTCACCCCAAAGTCACGCTTCTTCCTGCTGGCGTTGGACTCGCAACCTGTGAATTGGAAGGAGGTTGTGTCTGGGGGATCAACAGAGAGGCTCAGCTCTCCCTTTTGAGGTGTGTCCTAGTTTACCCCGGCGCTGGCACTGTGACACTGCACTGCTGACAGTCACCTGGATTTAAGGGTTATAAATACTTCTGCCCTCAGTTCACCGAAGCACTTTCAGTGATGTAAGCATCAGAAGAGTGAATTATTGGGTTCAAAAACTGTGGCTTAGTCTGTAGGCAAAGCTGCTTGTGAGAGGTGTTAGTTATTCTTCCCGCTGGATTTACACGTGCCTTTGTTACAATGAAGTGATTTTATTTAGGGTAACAGTAACCCTTTAGTAAAATAGACTTGATGCTGTTTATAACCTCTTTGTACTTCTGTCACTTTAAAAAAAATGCTCTTTTGCAAAGCAGCCTGTACAAGAATTGTTCATGTTGTCACAATTGTCTTTATTTTCTATAATAACATCCATGTTAGAGGCTCTTCTGTGGTCTGATCTTATGGTAGAAATGGAGCAGTTTGTCTAGACTAATCCTAAGTGATGCTTGTGCAGAAAACTGTGTCCAAACCTAAGCTTTTAAGGACAGGTTAAAGTTGTGCTCTCATGGAGAAAGGTGTGCGCTGGGTTGACTAAATTGGTGTTTGTTTCAAAATGAGTTATTTGCAGCACGTAAGATCCTTTTTGATCTCTTTCAGTACTGTCTTTTGCTGCTAGGACTGGGCGGGGGGGGGAGGTGAGTTTTCTGTTTGAATTGGGCTTAAAAGGAGTGATCCTTCTGGTAGGAGTTTATCACATAATTTTGGGGGCACTTCCAGTCAAGCTGCAGGTGTCTACCTGGGAGCAGTTGTAGTGGAAAGGACTAAACTGGTTATTTTTGTACTTGTCAACAGGGGCCAGAAACAAGTTATAGCAAAGACATTTGAGCTGTTTGATATAGATTGCATGTACCTAGAGGTAGAGAAAGTGATTGGGGTTTGGGGGTTTATTGGGGTTGCCTTTTTTTCTGGGAAGGTTTTGTGACAGTTCCTTGAGTGGAAGGTAAGGTAGTACTTCCAGAGCCTCAGAAGTAGGAAGCCTCGTTGCTGGACCTAATTGTGCTAACAGAGATGTATTGTCTGAGATCCACATGGATGTGACCAGGTTTGTTGGATGTGTCCAGTATAAAATAACTCGGTGTTACACTTTATTTTCCTGTGCTGCAGACATGGCCTTACCTGAGTTATACATAGCAGTAATCTTTGTTTCCTTCCCCAAAGTATTTTTAACCATCAGAAGTGATAAACCCTCTTACTTCAGCTGATTTGATCACAAATCCAATCTTCCTTCAGTCTTTTTGAGGTGCCTTCACATTTCAATGTTCAGCCTTCTCAGCATCCAGGAGGTTTCATAACCACCTGCTTTAAGTCTTCTGGTCAGGCTATTGTAAGCCTGGTTTTTATGTGGTGATTCAGTCTGTCTGTACAGGCCATGAGAAGTAAGAATCACATCTGGGTTTATTAGTTGATGCTTTCAGCAAAGTTTGGGGCATGCTGGGATGTGTTTGTCACTCGACCTCATCTTGAACTCATTCCATGTGCCCATGACAGGCAGCCAAGTGTTTAGTTCACGGTGTAGCAGGGTAGTCAAATGAATGAGGGTATAATATTGTATAAAGTAGTGCTTTTAACTCCACTTTAAATACCTGAAAAGTCCAAAGTAGAAAATTTGGGTGTAAAGAAAGATTTATTATTATTGCTGTTGTTGTTGTTATTATTATTGCTGTTGTTGTTATTATTATTACCTCACCCTTTTTAATGACTTTACTGTCAGACTTCATACTGTATAGCAGTTACCACCACCTTTGTCCCCTTTTGCCAGAAACTGTGACCATAAAGGAATATTGGCCAAGGAGTAGGCGGATGAGGTTCTGTATTAATAATTGCATCACACATTGCAGTGCGGTTATGACAGTGATTTTGTGCTGGGAGGCTGATTCAGCAGCCAGAGCACTGAGAGAAGAGCTGCCTGCAACAGCATGTACCTGGGCAGGCTCTTGGTTACATGTTCCTGCCAATGCCAGTGTCAGACATTTCCTCCTACTAGAAAGTAAAATACTGTCTGACAAATGCAGAGTGACTCTCCCTGACACTTGGGAATGTGCTCTGGAACTGCTGCACTCTGCAGAGAGATCCCAGAGGAGTCAGTGGGTAAGGAGCTCGTTCTTGACAGGAAAAATGCTGATAAAGGCCACTGCAGCTGCCTAAAGGATCTCCTGAGTTTTTAATTAATTGCTTAGTAGAAAGTAAATAGAAAGTGCTCCCCAGGGAGGCTCAGGCAGCTCACAGCTAAGATAGAGCTCTGGATGTGTCTGTGCATGACAGAAGGAGAGGCCAAGGGGCAGTGGGTTGAAGGATATGCAGCTTTCCAGGGAATGGGATTACAATAGGAGTGCAGAGGTGAGGAATATGCCCTGTAGTCTCAGGTCTAGAAGTAGCAGGGGGATTATTTTTTACCAGGATAGTGTTTGGACTCATGGAACTGGTGACTGGGATTCCCCTACAGCAGACTGGTGATGGAACTAGGCTGGGTGTAATGTAGAACCACAGACGCAAGTGAGCCTTCACATGGGTGTGCTTGAGGAGAAACAATTACAGACAGTGTAACTGAAGTCCTGGGACTTGCCTTCCCCAAGTCTCATTTCATCAGCTTTCATGGCTATTTCTCCTCCTGTCTCTTGTTGCAGGTCTAATTTGCAGTTGTGATGTGTCCCCTGACCTGAGCAGAGGCTGTGTGCTGGCCTGGCTGTTTTTCTGGCTCCCTTTGTCAGAGGACTTTTGAAGGGCATTTGTTTCATGAGCACAAGTCTGAAATTGGGAACTAAAATTAATGGCTGTTAGTCTTAGAAGCATCATTGAACCTGGGCTATAGTTACTGCAGTTCAATGTTCAGTAACTCCATCTGCAATGATTGGGATTGTTTCTCCCCTGGCTTTTGCATTCAGAAGAACCCCCAAATGTGTTATGTCCAGCTATTAAAAGTGGTGTTAATCCACTGATTGCTCCGGAGTTTGGGAATGTTCAGTCATGGCATCAGTTTTGCTGCTGAGCAGACAAATATAACACCCT